TCACTACAATTTTAGTTACTTCGATGATGAATGTAATAAGTGTACGTCATCTGTATTCGTGAAATCACAGCGTCACTTATTCGTTGGAAGACTTTAAAGCCACCTTTGATTTTTCCTCAGTTGAAGAATCAACCCATAGTTAGTAAGTACAGAGAAATTTTATCAACCTACAGATTAAGCAGCAACAAAGAAAAATTGAGACGATCCATCACTAGAAATACTTTTGCTTGTGTCTCAAGATATAAACAATCATTCTATGTGTATTTACGTCAGATTTTCATTTACAGTTACATGGAAGTCTCAGACTTCAGTGTTAGTTGTCTATCAATTTTAGAGCTTTAAAAATGATCATTCCAAAGATTAGCATCCATGTTTGTTTTTTTCGTGCTTCGAGAGATGTTTTGTGCTGTTCTCTCTGCAAACTCACTTAACAATCAAATGATGAAAAAACATAGTTGTGGCAGACTCACATGCTTCTTTTCGATTGCGGATGGAATGTCATGTGACAACTTCAACAGGTGGTATCGCAACGTGTGTGCCGGACTTACATCGACTGCGTACAAGAAGTGTCTCGAGTCACTGCTCTTTGGCTGTGCATAGCATGTTGCTCTACAAACGTTCTGTTGAACTTTGAGGTGACTGAGCTGCTGAACATAGCTATTAAGACGCTACCAAATAAACAGCCAGCAGCAGATGAGAAACTGGCAGATTTCGGGGAAGCATCTAGCGTTATCATGAATCCAGTTTTAACTTAAATTAGCCATCAATGTGGACACCACGACGTAGTGGATGATAAATACTTGGATGTACACATGATTACAAAGAAACATGAGAAGTAGTAGCAAATTACAGGGAACCCTAAGGTATGTGAGTTGACGGTTTCAGCTGCGGAACTCTATTCACATATCAACACGAAATAGACTATGGAGGTGCAAATTCTGAGTGCTACCCAATATTTGATCACGAAAAAAAATAAAACTGATTATTTACCTAGAACCTAGACAATTAAGGAGAAAACGTGAGACCTGAGCGTCTGCTGCCAAATCGGACTACTCGGATGGGGAGTGTTTAGGACACAAAACCTTCTGAGGCAGTCTGTTTGATTATCTGCGCTACCTACTCTTTTTGTACAGACATTTCAACACGTTACCTCTCCATTTGTTTTGACACATAACTGTCTGCTTGAGCATCTGAGCTACCTGTTCCTGCCATCCAGACATTTCAACAAGTGATCTATTTTTGTTTGTTTTAATATATCAATATGTTTATTAATCGCATGATGTATTCTGCTGCGTTTCTGAAAAGTGTACAAGCTTTCGTTGTCAAAGTTACAAAAAACTCAATAAGAGCCAATGTGGTTGCCGGCAATATACAGCAAAAAGAATGCACATTATTCAGATGTTCATTTACTGAACTGCTAACATCTAACTGGCGATCACTCAATATTTATCGCCAGGACCGACCAAGAAGAAAAAAACGAAAACTCGTTGAAATACTTTATGCTGAGAACTCTATATTGTACCAAAAATATAATATTGAATAAAGCTGATGATAATAATAATAACCTTTTAATCGCGAGAACTATTTAGGCGCGTAAATCAAAATTTTTCATTTTGTTTTATAAGGTACAAAAGTGTACGACTAGAGACATATTTGTAATTGGGAATATGAGATAAAAAGAATGAACATTAGTCAGGTGTCGATTCATGAACTGCTAACTTCTTACTGCCGATCACTAATTGGCAAGGGTGCTATCATTAACTCCCCAACAAATAAGTGGATAATATACATTCCCGATGGGGCAGGTACACGCCATTTTCACGGGCATAATCAATTATTTGCAACATTGGTTTAAAGATACAACGCTTCTCAAGCACGGTTGTTAAGTGGATTAAATCGGTGAAAATAAAAGGCAGCACATTTGTACAGTGGTACCAGAGAGTTTAAAATTAGGTTTATGTGTTACTAATATACTGTTTTTATGATCTGTTTCAACAATGGTATAGAGTCCATGTTATGATCCTGAGGAATGCACACCAGGTCAAAATTCTGCAGTTGTGCGTTGGTGTGATATCATCATCTAGATCGGTATTAGTACATTTTTCTTTGCTACCACAACGATATCTTTTCTGACACTTCGTGTCTTGACAATCAGTGACATGGTGTCTAGCACTTCTGAAGGACACGTTAGCGTCAAGAAAAGAGTAATATGTTCAGTACATAAAGCGAAAAGTTACGTGGTGGTAACACGCCCGTATGACCGAGTCATGCCATTTTCACAAATTATCCTCGTATTCATCATCACTGACTTTTTTCTCTGCGTTGAATAGTAAATGTGACTTTTCTCAGCTGTCTTTTGTTCAGCTTTGAGCGCCGTGTGGTCAGTATCAATTCCACCACATCAGAACTGAGACGTTGCTAAGCATTCATGCTATACAATTTTTCAAAAGCTCATAATTGCTGTAAATTAACTATTATTGGCACTTGCTATGAGCTGTGACCATGAAAAACGCATTCGTTAGGTTTGACTCAGGCGTAAGAAGCTCCATAACGATGAACTGAGAGTGTGGTGCGGAAAAAGAGAAACTTGATGACAGCGAGACATTTTTTGTATGAACCTTCAACAATGCTTAGCGCTTTGTAATGGAAAAGATGAAGGTATGGTATGAGAGGAAATCAATGGTATGTCAACAAATTGCGCGTAAAATTAGTAGAATGGTTTAAAATATACAAGAAGGAACTCGCATTTACTTGATGTTGTTGGTGTTTTTTGCAATCGTAACCGGGTGTCGGTTTACAGGCTCTATAGAAACAACATTACTGTTGGTAGGCAAGTTATCGTGAGGTTAACTTGGCAACTCGTTATCATAGTAGTGGGGACTCTTTGCGACCGACCATAGTTGAACAGTATCAACAGGTCCGGTAAGTTGTCTGTCTACTTCCAGTAAAAATTAAGAAGGGACATATATCCACAGAGATATATTTATTACAACATCAAAGGGAAAGAAAAAGGCAAACGAGACTCAGAGCTTGATATGACTTAGATATGTAGAGGGCCTATGATATCTAAGTATGGCACAGATATATTCGTGCGTGCTAAAAGAATAATTCAAGAGAGGGCTTCATGAAGAAGTCTCAGAAACGCATGTAATCCATCAACCATGCGTATTTCGTAAGGAATACTGTTCCAAATTAGTGCATAATTGATGAGAAAGAAGTCTTGCCATGTTTATGATCTGTATTTTTTAACCTTGACCGTAAATACTTTATTTTGAAGGTCATATGTATGTGGACCTTGGGTAAGGACTATATTACATGTGGACTAGATGAGATTTTGAGGAGCTTGAAGTAGATAATTAAATTGGAGCTAAGCCTTCTTTTCCCGAAAGATTCAAATGCAAGTACATGGCATCGGGAACGATAGTCGATAAGTGAATTAATTTAAGGCATATTGCGAGTGAAATGCCATTGTATTCCTTCCACCTTCAGCATATCAGTATTCAGTAAAAAGGATAGTAGAATAGCGGACCTGTATTAATCCTGAAAATTTGCCCTCCATTGAAAATCCAGCTTCTACTTTGAAGTGCGTGGTATATGAAATTCGCAACACCTCGTCAAATCATTTCAATGCTCGGCGAAGTGACTTTAATGCGCAATCACCTATGGCAGCTGCTGCGTTGCAATGCGTAATTGTTTTCAAGCCATGAATCATAATTACTCCAAAGTCCTTATGTTCTCGGACACATGGAAGAAATATACTGTCAATAGTATAATGTTTACTATTACCGTGTCCGATGTGCATGAGCACATTCTTCTTAAAATTACCTTTTAAGCCCCAACTTCGAGCATGTAATAATAATAATAATTTATTCTCAAATAACAGTTTGTTACATGAGGCATGCCAGTTTACAGGCAAGATCAAATTTTTACAAGTGATACAATACCCACTGTAGTAAATTACTCAGCTGGGTTGATAATATAAAAGATATGAATGTAGATCACCAATGTAGATTATCTACGTCGAATGGTTGGAGACCTACTGGAGTTAAATGGGAATGATGTGACGAACCAGATAATCTCACGGTTAAGACCTAACATGGATTACCCTTCGACATATTAAATTACTATGGCTGCTTTGTAGCACATATAGAAAGGATGTTATTTAGTAAATATATTAGTAAGAATGAGTACAGAGAAGATAGCGAAACCACTACCACCACATGCGCCAGTCCATGACATACGATCAGCTAATGAGCGTTGGTTGTTCTATGACCTTGACACGGATTGACGACCTGTTCGATATTGAGTGACCCAACTGCGGATGATTTGGCTACGACTCAGTGACATTTCACTGGCCCTATTAGCCCATCTAACCAATTCGTCTAGGCCGAGTTAGAGATCAAAATGACCAGCCTCACTCCTTATTGCTCTCCAGATTCCGACATCATCCGCAAATAATAATGCCGACGACCCAAGCGATGGCGGCAATTCATTACGTCGAGTATGAAAAGCAGGCGGCCTAAGATGGTGCCTTGGGGTATACCACTTTCAACCGGCGTAAGTTTTAAAATGAGAAATAACGGTATTCAGCGACCAGTCTTACATATATCTTGTACCTGAACCTGACTTTACACTTATGATCCGAATGAAGATGCCACAGGTATTCGGGATTTGACAACGCTTTAACCAGTAAAAACCTTCTCTAATATGAATCGTACCCACCAAGTGAAATCAAAAGACAGAAGAGAGGAGGTTCGAAGATATACTCGATAGGCTATCAATATATTGAGGATCGTCTGATCTAATCTGGCTAGCGGTTGCAGGGGTCATTGAGCACGGCGTTCTCACTCGTGATCTGGTGCGGATGCATGACCGAGCGCCTTCAGCTAGGTGAGTCCATTAAAACTAATGTGGTTAGCGTCCAATGTCGAAAACTTACAGAGCTATTTATATTGGGGATTTATTTACCTCTACACGGTCTTAGGGATTTTCAAGACGCGCGCGGAGACCGGCTTGTTCAAAATGAGTTGTACAGTTAGGGGGAAGCCGAAGTCAGGCCGTACTTGGAAAACAGTTCGTACTGCGAAGTAAGCACACTTTTCTAGCAAGATCAAGACCGTCATGTTTGATTTGTCCCACCGTCTTTTTTATCATGACTTTGTGCCAGTTGATGTAAACTGAATTTAACCCTATTTTTGGGGAAACTTTTGTCCGTTTTGGGGAAACCTCAATAATAGACTTCGAGAAATGGCACTAAATTCCAAAACTTCCTCAGGACAGGGAGATTTCCAAAATGTTTGGGGAAACTTTTCCCCTATATTTTCGCAGAATCTTATGACACTAGGGAAAACTACCATATTTCTTACGACTTTGGAGAAAACCCCAAAATTTATTTAAAGTTCCCTAAAATAGAGAGGTTGGGGAAATTGGCTTTTTAATGGGAGTTCACGAGAAGCTTAAAATTACCAGTTAGTGATTTGGTGATGTGGTCAAAAATCAGTCACGGTTATACGAAATCATCCATCCTCCACCTTCTAGTATTAATTGCTTCATTATCCTGTAGTTCTGATTGCTAATTTTCCCCCTTTCGTTTCAGTCCCCAGTTGTCTGGGATTTTTTTCGTCTTTTCTCTCGTCAAATTTCTTTTCTGTTCTAGAATTTAGCAAGTTACCCGCCAACATTTTTTGTCAGTTTATATGTTGCTTTCTGCTTGGTTCTCCAATTTTCTTAGTCATACTAGACTGGTCATTTATTTTATCCCAGTTGGGCCACTGAAAAACTTATGTTAATAAAATCGGTGTATAATATGGTTTTAATTGTTTATCTGAGTATTTCTGAATCCTTAATTACATAATATTGTAAGAAACATTTATCTCATTACAATGTTGTAGAAATAATTGCTAGTTTCTAAACATATCAAAAGTATATAACTACTAATTTATACAAATAAATCAGAGCTACTCGATTAGTGGCAATTGTTTCGGTCGAGCAGAATGATGTGACCAACAAATTGGAGTATATCTGGGTTGGTGACAGTTGTTCATCGATGCGACTACAACTGTCTACTAAACTTTAGCAGTGATGTATATGCTGTTGGTCCGAAGGTCCTGAATCCCAAAATGCGTAAACGTATCACTAAGAGTCACGTGGCTTGTCCTGGTTCCTGACTTTCATTACTTTTTAGATTACTGTTAATAAGTTATTACTAACTTATTTGGTGGGACAAAACAATTAGTTCCAACAATCATAACCTTCAGTCCGAGAAGTCCACCCATAAAGTTTGAACGTTAATCTACAAATCGAATCAGCATCCACTAATTCCGTAAACTGCTACCATGTTTAAATTTATTCATCCTTATTTTATTTATTTTAACACATAGACATTGGTATAAGGAGGCACCAAATACATATGCACCACACAAATCTCATTCGATATGTGTGAGGGCTGTGGTACTGCCCGCGTGCCCAAACCGAAGCAGGTGGTTTTCTTAGGGGGCCACACCCCGAGCCTTCGACCTGGAGGTCTGATCCACAAGGCAGTGGAGCATCGCAAGGAGATGCAGTCCCATGGTAGCCGGTGACCAACAATTTGTTCATACACCATTCGTTCCCCCAGGATACTGGAGCCCATGTCCACCATTGATTTGGTTTGGAGTCCGGTTAAAGCGCCGGACATTCGCTTTTCGTCCTCTCATTTTTGTAAACAACACCCCCGCCACGAGAAAGCAGTGAATAGAACTTCCCTGGCAGAGGCTATATACGCGTGGCCATGTGAGAGCATTTCGAGATGGAGAGCGGACTCTCCCCACTCTCGGCCGTACCAGGGCATTTGGGGGCTTGTTCATCCTTATCTTTGATCATATTTCTCACGTTATGGTATGTAGTAACTTGACATGCTCATTATGTTTCCCAACTGCTTGATTGGGTGTTGATTCACAATCATGCCTAGTGAACTGTCCATTTTTCCTGAAAAAAATTAGCACTCTTCTTCTCTTTAGTTGATCATTGTTTTCATTATCTGAAATGAATGAAAAGTGACCAGATATCTTTGGACAAGCATGCTTCGCACCCAAAACACAGAAAAGGTTTTTGTCTTGCTTACTTAAGGCTTGATTTAGATCTAAATGAATCAACTGGCTTTTAAGTAGTGTAAACTAGTGAGTACAAAACAGCTTTGTCTAGATTTTGTTCATGAATTTCCCATCAGTTGCCCTACTCCCTGAATAAATAAAGTCGTCTGTATGACCAGATACTCTATTCTTTATTTCAGGAATATGTATCGATACAGACCGTTCCAAGAAATCTTACGATTTTAAATGCAAAACATGTCCTAAACTAGATCAAATTTCTTCCCAATATCCCATGATATTATCAGTTTTTTCGAATGACAGAAACATGTTTTGTACTTCGTGTCATTAAGCAGATCATTAAGCTAAAAACAGTGTCTGTGACAGTAAGGCTAGCATAGATACAATAAATACTTTAAAATCTTCCTTTGATTGGTTTGTTTATATACGCTACGTACCTCAGTAGGTTTCGATTTTGACCATAACATCCTAAAGAATTCTGCAACAAAAAGTTTCCGGACAAGTTGATGACTTTTAATCGACCTATAAAAACATCATCATTACATACTAATTAAGTAGATGTGCTTTTCGAAGTATTGTATGAATACAATACCGAAATTTTATGTTTAAAGGTTCAGCATATTTATATTGTAATTATTGTGAAGGACGTTAATAGTTAAAGCAATTGACTATCAACCACTATGTTTGATGTAGAAGCCCCACTTCACAAACGTATGTCTGAATAGTTAAGTTCTATCACTAGACTTATTCTTGTTTAGGACATAAACATTGAAATAACTATACTCCACACGCTAGTTAAGGAAAGTAATTATGAAGAGAGAAAAAAATACAAACGAAAGGAAACAACCGTTACATAAAAATGAATCAACCAAGTACATAAATCTGTACTGTTTGTGTTACATCAAGAATTAATGATTATGATGTCTTCATTCTTTTTCTATTTTCTTTTGGGATTTCACATTTTAATGAAGTAAGAACGACAGCGAAAGCTGCATAAATTTGAACAAAGCGAACTAATTGTATGAATTTTTTTCATTGTAGACTTAATCTTAGGGTGTTATTACTTATATTTATTATCCTATCAAACTAAAATCGATTCGTTAATGATTTTAATTTAATTTACACGTACTAATTTTCACGAAAGTAGTTCTAGCTGGTACTAACAAATGCCCTAGTACGGCCGAGAGTGGGGAGAGTCAAATCTCCCTTACAAAAGGCTCTCATATAGCCACGTGCATGCAGCCACCGACAGGGAAATCCTACTCACTACCTTCTCTCGGTGATGGTGTCGTTTACGAAATTGACAGGATAAGTAGCGAATGTCTGGCTCTTAAACCGAGTTGGTGGATATAAAGAATTCATCTAGAGAAGTTGGAATATCCTGATTCCAAACCAATGGTGCACATGGGCTCCAGTATCCTAAGGGAATAAATGGCGTATAAACCTATTTTTGGTCATCGGCTACCATATGGCTGCATCTTTTAACGTTGCTCCACTGTCTTGTGGATTAAACCTTTCTGTTAAAGGCTCGGGGTGTGGCCCCCTAATAAAACCATCTGCTTTGGTCTGGGCACCCAAGAAGTACGTATCACAGCCCACACACAAATCAAGTGACTTGTGTGGCGCATATTTATTCTGTGCTTCTTTGTACCAATGTTTATGTATTTAAATAAATACTAACAGAACTTTTTAGTTGAATTCAATATTAAAATTCCAGTCATATATTGTGTCAAATGAAAAAAGGTAAATTAATTGGAAATAATTTACATAAAAAGATTATAATACATTAATACGTATTGCACTTGTTCCTAATTTTATGGTGAAAATATTATTTCAACAGTTGAGATCATGAGTCAATTGAAGCTAGACCATCATGGAAAACCTTGAAGCACTGGACGGCCGTTTCGTCCTATTGTGGGGCTCCTCAGCAGTGCGCATCCACGACCCCGCCTCGCCAGATTCGAACCCAGGATCTATCAGTCTCAGGCGCTTAGGAATCCCATACTAGGACAAATTGGCGGTCCAGTGCTTCTAGGTTTTCCATGATGATCTAGCTTCAATTGACTCATGATCTCAACTGTTAAAATTACTACAATCTCCACAAAACCCCATCTGAAAATATTATTGTTCATACATTTATTGATTTTCGTTTTAGACACAGTGCAATTAAAAAAGACAAAGGTATACGTACATCATTTCAAGTTCGTAGAAAAATTGAAGCAGAAATTAAAAAAATTCGTAATGAATCTATTGAACGAAAAAAAGCAAAAGATGAATTAAAAAGAATGAAACGTTTAAAAGAAGAAGAGAAACATCAACGTAAATTAGAAAACGAACGTCGTTCAGAAATTGTTGTACCGGTTAGTGATTATACTCAAATGATTATATCCTCTGTGTTACTTTATTTTTTAGATAACAAATCCGGCAAAACTTAAACGTTTACGAAAAAAACAAATGCGGACAATTGTAACACGATGAAAAAGAAGATTATTTTTGGCTATAATAAATTTCAAAATATAATACTTTTGTATGTTAATTTATTTGTTGATAAATTGAGATTGAGTTATCAAGAAAGTTAATGCCCATAGTCCTAATTAGTATATATAGAACACTACACTTACTTACTTACTTACGCCTGTTACTCCTAATGAAGGAGCATAGGCCGCCCATCAGCATTCTCCATCCAACCCTGTCCTGGGCAATCCCTTCCAGTTCCTATTCATCCTTTTCATATCTGATTCTATTTCCCGACGTAATGTGTTCTTTGGCCTTCCTCTTTTCCGCCTTCCTTCAGGATTCCAAGTTAGGGCTTGCCTCGTGATGCAGTTTGATGATTTGCGTAATGTATGTCCTATCCATTCTCATCGTCTTTTCCTAATTTTCTCTTCAGCTGGAAGCTGGTTTTTTCTCTCCCACAGTAGGCTGTTGCTGATGGTATCCGGCCAATGGATGTTGAGTATCTTGCGTAGACAACTAGTTATAAATACTTGCACCTTCTTGATGATGGTTGTAGTAGATCTCCACGTTTCAGCTCCGTACAGTAGAACTGCCTTGACGTTCGTATTGAAGATTCTCACTTTGATATTGGTTTAAATGTGTTTTGAGTTCCATATGTTCTTCACTTGTAGGAATGCTGTCCTTGCTTTGCCAATCCTCACCTTTACGTCTGCATCTGAACCTCCTTGTTCATCGATGATGCGTCCCAGGTATAGAACACTACAACTGGTAGTCGAAATACAATGATCATGTTCATATCGTCTGTTAAATAGTGTTTATCTTATTTGAATTACGTTTTTAAGTGTTTTATAGCTCTTTGTGTCTTTTTTATATTAAGGTGACTGATTTCTTAAACTTGGACAGTTTGACTGTTATTTTCAGTACCATTAGCATCCTTCAAGTGAAAGTAATTAATACAAAGAGGCTTGAGTTTTTCTTCTATTCTGGTGTACTCGTCTCCATATTCAGTGTCGTCAGTCCCATTATCTTCTGGTCAATTTTTTATAGTAACTTGTCATATAATGTTAACTACAGATAATGTAGTCACATACTTACGCCTTGGTTTTTGTAACTCAACTGTAGGAGTTTCATTTATTTTGATATGTATCTTCTAGCAACGTTCAAGAATATCTTATTTTATTTCAGAGGTTAGCTTATCAAAGGGACACTTTGGTGACTAGTTTCGTCACAGACTAACATAAACTAAAAGACCATTACAAAGTAGGGAACATGGTGTGAGTGTATTTCCACTGTCCAGGGTTTCTCGGTAATTCATACCTATAATCTTAGATGATACAGAAGTCAGACTTTATTGTCTAGGTTATAAAATTCTTCCCGCCTGTAGCTTCTAAATTGACATGGTGTTCGTGCTTGCCTATTGTGATGACTCAACCGAGCTACATTGGCTGGGACACATCTTCCTTCGGTTCCTGCCATTCCAGATAGGTAGGTAGGAGGACGGTTAAACTAAAAGAAGAAACCTAAAGTCTGAGGGTGAAGTCATACTGATGACTAGTAGTAAGACGTTTTCCTTGGACAACCAGTATCTGCGACGATGCTGTCTTCTCACAATGGAAGGAGGGGGTTACAGCAGGTTGACCCTAAATTTGTCACACCTCACCTTGACCCACGGATTTATGTCTGGCGATAAGGCTTTTTAAAGCGCTAAGATAACAGAAACTTCTCATTGAAAAACCGCATGTGACTGGCCTCGAGCAGTTGTCCCTTCTAGCATATCTTTATCATCGCGCCACGTCTAACTCTTTCTTTTATTGACTATTACCCCAGAAGGGCTCCAGGTGAAGTTAACCTAAAGTGCTATCGTATTGTAAAATGCTCATTAAAATCAAATATTTGAAGTTGCGTAATTATTTAGCAACTAGTGAAAAATATTGGGATGTAGATTCTTGACGGTTAAGTGCTAATTATCCGCTTAAGAAATATGAAGAAGAGGAAAACTAAACGTAAAAATAATTAGAAAGACGAGAAAACGACAGATTGTGGAAGATAAAAAGTGAAATTAAGACCACGGTAGAATGATGGACTGGACATACTGCTTTTTTACACAGAGGTTAAATTTGGTAGATAGCTAGAAGCTTTAGTTCATAAGTCTTGAATTTGTATTCCTTCCGGACCTAGTTTTATAACTGTATGAATAATTTTGAAAGGGGATTCTGGCAAAGTAGCACCACTAAAACTGACTAGAAGAGTTATTGATTTTGTATTATAATATCTTGGAGATGCATTATACTGAGTATTCTGACTAGGCAGTATGATCGAATCCAAATATATAGAATCCAAAATATTGTCTAACATCTTTGCCCATAGATTGGAATTATCTCGTGACCTTAAATTAGAATGTAGATTTCTTTAAATACTGTCCAACATATTTACAGTTCATTATTTCTTAGACGGATCCCATATTGCATTTGACGAAAGATAATACTAAATGAGAACTAAATCATCTAGTTTCCCCCAAATGCCCTGGTACGGTCGGGAGTGGGGAGAGTCCGCTCTCCCTCTCGAAATGCTCTCACATGGCCACGCGCATACAGCCTCTGCCAGGGAAGTCCTACTCACTGCCTTCTCGTGACGGGGGTGTTGTTTACAAAAATGGGAGGACTAAAAGCGGATGTCCGGCGCTTTAACTGGATTCCAAACTAATGGTGCACATGGGCTGCAGTATCCTGCGGGAACAAATGCCTTATGAACAAATTGTTGGTCACCGGCTTCCATGGGACTGTGTCTCCTTACGATGCTCCACTGCCTTGTGGATCAGACCTTTAGGTCAAAGGCTCGGGGTGTGGCCCCCTAAGATAACCACCTGCTTCGGTTTGGGCACGCGGGCAGTACCACAGCCCTCACACATATCGAATGAGATTTGTGTGGCGCATATGTATCTGGTGCCCCTTTGTACCGATATCTATGTGTTAAAATAAATAAATAAATCATCTAGTTATTTATCTGTTTAACCGAAATCTTACTTCTTACGAAAATTAGTATTAGAAATAGTTACTCTCGTATACATGAAATACTTTTGATATGGATTGATCCTATTCCCACCTTTGAAGATTGAACATTCAAGTTTGCCTTGATATTTTGTGAAGTTTGTTTTCATGTTTTATAACTTCACTTCTCATATGTCTAGCCACAAATATATCTATCCGGCTAAAATTTTACTAATAATGTGTTCTATGTAAGAAACCAGTTATTTTTACTAATCCATTTAATTTATGCTATCTCAGCAAGCTGTCTTGTCGGTTACTATGTTAAACCCATAAAACTTATTTTAGCTTCTGCCGAAGCCAGTTTTATTCATTCTTAAGCTATATTTTGATCTTGTTAATTATTCACTTATCAACCTTGATTGTTTTTATATAAGCATATGTGTGTCCACTTCTTATCTCATTCATCACATATCTTTAGCTTATTTTTGTGTCACTATAAATATCGATTAACACTTGAGTAAATGTTGTTGGCTCACGCCTTCACCGCGCATCATTTCGCTTCGCTCTTGCTTGACTTATTTAATTCCGTTATTCACCAACGCGGATTAAGTTGATGAAATATACGAGGATAGGTGATATATATATATATATATACTGTATGCTGTGTGGATTGATTTGATCATCAATTTTCGTTCGAATTTTGTCGAGACTAATTTATGAACGAGCGAGTCACAAGCGTTTGAAAGATTTCAGGGTCACGGTGCCGATTTCAGTACCTGATGCTCACGTACGATTGGTTCACAGCGGATTTGAGAGAAAACGTAATAATTGATTAAGGTAATCAAATGACTTGTGGACCTTGTGCAGACTACTGTGATGATGTTGTCTTTCAGTGTAATATGTATTGAAGGAAGAAGTCTGCTAGAATAGGCTTTTTTTGCTCGATCCAGATTAAGATTAAGGCAAATCATGATAATTGTTACGAACTGGATGATAAAAGTACCAGTAACACTGGCTACAGCTAGGTACTACAATATATACGGGTAATTGGAGAGGGTACCGATGCCTACATAAACTTGGTTATTTGCATCGTGTTACTTTCTACAAGCGTCATTTTATGGACTCAACAACTGGAGTTCACACTAACAATGTTGAACTTATATGGTCGAGACTGGAAGAGTTCTCGCGTCCTTTTCATGGCTCCAGAGGCCGACAATTTTAGAACCTCTGAAGCTCTTTCTAACTTTGACAAGATATTGAACCATGTAAAAGAGGTGTATCCACTTTAATTCTTTGGTTTTTTATAACATATCTTAACTCTATTGATTGGCTAATGTTTCTCAAGGTCACATGAGATTTGTTCAAAGGTCGTCCGTAAATTAATAGTCTCAGTTGAATTGTTAAATGAGTTTATATAGAATGTACCTGAGATACAGGCACATCCAGTTGACGAGTCTCAAATAGGACGAAACGCGCATCCTGGATTCCACTGCTAGCCACTATCCATTATTGCTTACAAAAAAACATACTGAGAGTTCCAAATATGAAAGTTGAATATAGATAAAGAATTATATTTAATCATGTGAATAATTTGAGAGAAAATTATTATTATGATTAACATAACATTGTATATTCATATTGAATATTTGGCTTTACACTAGTGTTTACTAGGCTTGTAGTTCCAATTCACGGCATGGATAGGCGAACAACATTAAGTTGCTACAGGGTAATGCAGAGAAGCATTAGTTCTGCCAAGATTGCAACTGCACACTACGAACTAGACTAATATGATATTAGTTACTAAATTGTGACTAATTAAAATATAGACTTGATCTTATAATAATGTACTTGACCTAGTAAAGTTTACATTTCGTGAGATTGCCACTATGATGAAATATGTTCAAACCCAATAATTTAGATTGGAGTTTAGATTCTGAGGGCAGAAAACCAGAGCCTTGTGTTAGTTGTTGTATGGTAAGCTTCAGTATGTCCCTAGTTTTCTCTTAAATATCAAGTGAAGGTGCAGACATTACATTTTTCGGTAGTAGTTTCTAAGAATTGATCACTCAATGGGAAAACTTGTCCTTCAT